AAAATTCTGAAAATTTGTATAGACCTTGGTCTTGGATGACAATACAATAATCCGTAAAAAAATTTAAAAAAAAAAAAAAAAAAAAAAAATTAAAAATTTTTTTTAACTAAAAAGTAGAAAATAAAAAATTAAAAAATTATTTTTTAAAAACACACTTCTCTAAAAAAACAAAAAAATAATGAAAAATTTAAAAGTGTGTGGCGCTCTTAAACTTGACATATTATACCACACACTTTTAAATTTTTCATTATTTTTTTGTTTTTTTAGAGAAGTGTGTTTTTAAAAAATAATTTTTTATTTTTAATTCTAGTAGACTACACCGTCTCAACCAACTTCTTAATAGATGATAAGTAATAACTTTCTGACGCCGTCGAAATATAAAATAGGTAATAGCCACAGAAATCATAAGTTGCCTATATGTTTCACCTTATAAACGATTTAATCTAATCCAAGATATTATATTGTAATTAATAACCTAAAACGTTCATATAATATGAGTATTATAGCTATACAAATTACCTACACAGGAACTTCGTTGGAGATGTTGACCATAAGATTTCTGTACCTACGTTTTCTTTCAATATTTTAACTTAAGCAAATTTACTTATTGCCACCATAATAACTTTGTCACTACTCCATAATAATAAAATAATTAATTTAATTTATCGCACTAAGCAAAACTAAGCATGTACATAAACTAGATAAATAAATAGCTCAAACTAAGATGTTATTGTATTTAGTATTTATAAATAAAAAAAAACTTATGTCTATCAATTAATATTATTATATTAGTGTTGGCTAATGCACCAATAAATAGGTATTCGATTGTTAAATTTTTTTTTTACACAGAGCAATTATTTACATAGTTAAATTAGATAAATACAAATAACCACAAGCATTGGTACCTAACAGCCAACAGGTATAGAACAAAGGTTCATTTTGAAAATATGTTCATGTTTTGGAGTTTTGACTTTTGAACATTATTTTTAATGCATATTTTGTAATTTTTTAAGTATGGGAAACTGCACGCTAATTGAACAGATGTTCACTACATTAAGTCCACAACAGTGCTCATTTTCGATGGTTGCCAACGCCTACCACTATATACAGGGTGATTTACCAAGCATGCTCACCCCTTTTATCTTATAATAATGCGATTATTCGATTTCTGATTTCCTAGAACTTTCAAATTGAAGTATATTTTAAAGAACATATTTTATTATATTTTCAAATACTTAGATTTTTTTATGCCATTTATGGAATGTTCTGTAGCGAATGAATGACATACATTTAAAATCATATAATCAACACAAAAGGCTATTTTTTCATGTTTGAAAGTATTTCGATTGAAAACAATAAATTATTATTACAGCCAAACGTCAAATGGCGAGACCGTGCGCCCCATTGAATAATAACACAAAAACAACTATAAAAAATGTATAATATTGTGTTTCATTGAGTTGTTGGGAATTTAGTCGTAAAATTTAGTATTGTCTGCAGCATGCTGTATCGCATATACGGTCTTAATAACACGACCTACACAAATTTCCACACAGTGTGTCAGTGTCTAATTTAAATTTTACCTCACCTATGTTTATTAGTATGTCTGTTTGCGTACAAACAAATTCATTATTAAGAAATCGTAAGTGAAAAATAAAAACGAAATATAGATTGGTATCTTCAGGTGACTTCTGGAGAAGATAACCGTAAATAAAAATAACTCATTCCTGTGCAATATTATAATTTACAAATATCTTACAACATATTATATTAAACGCATTTTAAAATTAAAATATTATGCTATTTACAGTACTGTAAATAGCATAAACTAGTTCAGCACTTTGTACATTTATAGGTATGCATGATATGTATTTACCAGCTGTATAAACCGACTTCACCAGTGAAAAATGAACAAACAAGTAATATCGGTACGAATATACGAGTATCTCAGTTAGTGTACCTGAACTCATCGTCTAATCGATTTCGGTGTACCTCGCTTTGTGAAATAATTCAACCAAGATTGGATATAGGTAGCACTCGGTATTTTTTCTGATATGGTTAAAATTACTCTCTAAAATTTCCTGATTAATAAGAACAGTCTCTGAAACTTTCGTCAAAATCGGTTAAGTAGTTTTCGAGTCCATAAGTTAGAAACATAAGGGCATTGCCTTTTGTTGAACGTTTGAATAACAAACAATAAATTGAATATTATTTTGTTTAATTTAAAAAAATAATCCATAATAACGCATAAGGGTGGGCTAGTCAATACCAATTTTTTTTTTAATTTCATTTTTATTCAACTGCAACCCTGTACATAAACAAAACAATTTTTCAAATTTTATTAGCCCAAATGAAATTAATATGTTAGCCAACCTGTAGTGGTTGAACACCGCCTACGAGTCTCAAATAATCTATGAATATAACTTGTTATTGAAATGGTTTCAGTAGTTACTAGTTACTGATATTAGCTGTTGTTAAAATACACATTCCACATTTATATCATAATATAGTTATAGATAGATAACTAAACAAAACTCATTATGGGAAAGGCGGAAAGACACTTGCACATTATACACGGTTTGATTAACATGCATATGAGTTTGGATCTTTGCATTTTGCTAATGATTTCGAATTTGTTAAGAGGATGTGTCTGTTCACATTTTGTTTTAATAGCGCTTTGGCCGGTGCAATATTGCAGATTTGATGATATTGCAGAACCAATATCTTTTATTGTTAGCTTTAATGTTAAAGTAAATTGACTTATCAACTATCTTATAACTTAAAGTTAAGAATATTATATTATTATCTCTGTTTGTATACGTTGGATTTTTATGAAATTTATGAATATATTTTTTAACTAATATATTTTACATAGGTACTCTTGCATGGACAACTTGCATGGACAATTTAAATATCATAAAAACACTACGTAGAAACACAGAGAAAGTTCTTAATTTTACGTTTTATAATAGGTCAATTCACTCTAAAGTATAACTTAAAGTTAAGAATATTATATTATTATCTCTGTTTGTATACGTTGGATTTTTATGAAATTTATGAATATATTTTTTAACTAATATATTTTACATAGGTACTCTTGCATGGACAACTTGCATGGACAATTTAAATATCATAAAAACACTACGTAGAAACACAGAGAAAGTTCTTAATTTTACGTTTTATAATAGGTCAATTCACTCTTATATTAAAGATAACAACACAAGATTGGTTCTGCTGAACGTAAATTTGCCATGTTGTGGGAAGATGAGGGTGAGACAATACAATTTAGTGAGCTGATATCCTATAAGCTATTCTCCGTACGGTTATAACGGTTAAACATATTAGTTTAAGTTGTAAATTGTAATATACTTAAAACATACAGAACAATATAAAAAATAATCTGTATGAACAATAAAGGCCTATGGATTTATATATTTTTCAATTATAATTATTTCAAACATATTATTATTGTTATGCAATACACTGGTGACTTAAGCTATAACGCCTATAATTAGTAATGAGCTGTAAATAAATCATATATTAGTTAATACCAGTGGGAAAAGTAGTACAAAGTATTTTAGAAGCATTCATAGAAAAAATATCATTGCATTTTCACTCTTTTTGATTCATAAGAGCAATTATTTTATACATGTAAGTTAAGAAATTATAGTAAAAAAATTTATCTTGCACAAAAAATAATATCTGCAGTTATGAAATGTATTACCGTATTTTAAATATTCTTTAACCTGCAGTTTTTGTTATAAATATGTATATTTTTTAATGCATATATTTTATAATCAATTTTTGTTGCTTGGGGCATTAAGTCAGGACATAGCTCTAAAAAAAACGGTAGGTTGAACCCTTGAAGGTATACATTACACTTTCAGGATTAAATGCATACCGCATAAGTAATATAGCTTAATTTATTGTATAGGTACCTAATATAGCTTGATATACCAACGTATATATATTATTATAATATAATAATATTATATATTATACTATAGTTGAATAACCCGGCTTCACCCGTGTGCAGTTTTTTTGTGTTGAGACTTTTATATCAGACTTTATAAGTTCTTACGACGTCGTTGTTATAACATTATCCCTTTCCAAAAAATCCGACCTAAAAAAAACGTTTTCCATTTTTACAATATAGGAACATCTTTTCTTGTAGCGGATCTCTAGTCTCTACATCATAAAATAAAACTACTGACCAAATTTTATACTCACAGTTTCAGTGGTTCCGGCTAGCCGATGATGAATAAGTCAGTCAGTACTCAGTCAGTCACCGTTACTTAGTCAAGAGTCAAGACTATATACATAATACATATAGCTTTTACATACATATTATTATACATAAATGGTATGCTATTATATCACGGTGTTGGTACTAGGTGTGGAGACGAAAAATTAAAAAATTCTGATCACTCAACATTATTGTCTTGTCACGAATCATTATAGTTCATAATATTAACATAAATAGTGTAGTCCAATACGGCAAAAAGTATATTTTTATCAGTTAAGCACAATATCCCGTGGGCTTGTGCCTTGTTTACGGATAGCGACCCCCCCTACACACACGATGACCTTCGTGTGGTTTATTATAAATGACGCGCGGAAGTAATAATATTTTTTTTTTTTAAAACATTGCACCATCGCGTAATTATGGGTAGCTGCTATTACGGTGTGTTATTTTAAGGCGAAAACGTGGTATTACAACAATAATCGGTATTTATAAACAGCTGATCCGCGAACAGACATTGTCCCGGTGCGTAAAGTTGAATCGATGTCCGATGACAAAAAGATCGCGCGCAAGTTGGCAGACGCCAAACGTCTAGAAATAGACCGTTTTGTTTGCCGCGGCAGTTTGGTTTTTGTGTTTGCGTGCATTCCAACCTTCGTACTGTGTTTAAGGCATATGAAGCCTTTAGATACAACAGGTAGTGCCGCCGAGTGCGATACAAACGATTTGAACGCTGCAAAATCATAACTGCTGAAAAATGACGAAAACCACTGAAGAGGCTGGATACGATCTCGTCCAAGTATGTCGCCATCACCAACAATTAATATATTATTATTTTTATTATTATTATTTTTATTATTATTATTATTATTATTATTATTATAATCGCCGAGACCACGATTTGTTTTTATACGGATTAACTTATACATTTTTTTCAAACTCGGGTTGCATTCAGGTGCACGTTTTGGAAAACGTATATTAATAAGTCATACCTAAGTGCGTCCAGAAACTTTTAAGAATAATATTTTGTTGTAAATGAACAATGAACATCCAATATACCGCTACCCATTTTTGTGAAAAAAAATAACAAACTGTAATTTATTCGTATGATATAGGGTCTTGTCTAAATAGGCAATAATTATTGAAACACACATGAAAAGAGAAAGAAAAATAAGTGCACTCTTATATTGTTTAAACCGTTTTAAGCCTAAAAATAGCAAAGTAATTACATTTTTTTTAATATATCTATAACTGGCTTTAAAATTGTATTCAACTCTGCAGTGTTAAAATAATATTATGTAAATAGCATTTTGTTTTGTTACATTACAGTAATATTACTTATAAACTACAAGGTTCGGATTCTAAATAGGATTGTGTGATGTATACATTTATTAAAGGTGTGAATTGTGTGATGCATAAATTTATTTTAAATTTATATATTTATAATTTATTATAAATTTTAATAAATTCAAAATAATTTCAAATATAAAGTTGTAAATTTTATATTTTATGCATTAGAGATTTTTAGTACTGTATTTCGATTTCATATTTTTTTTTTAAACTTATATCCTTTATTTTTACTTATTTGATTGTTCCTAAAATTGATATATGAATAAATAGGAAAAATACCATCATTAATTCATTGCATTAAACGTTGTCTTAATTCAAGTTTTTTTATTTATCATTAATTAATAATTATTATATATTATATATTAAAATATAAATTCATTTTTTTAAATCAATCAGTTGTTTATATTCTTAGGTCATATTATGGCGTAGGTATCAATACATATAATACATATTAGTGCTTTAAAATCTGAGCCCTGCTAATAAGTCTGCAGTACACTTAATTCTTAAATAAATATTCAACTGCTCGGGATTAAATTTTGTACCTACCAGTTGCACCTTGCAGTACTTATGACTTCTCATATATACTTAAATAATTGAAGTATTTTTATTGTATATATTATGTGAAATGTGAATAGTAAAAAATATTATTAAAATCTATATGAAGTTATAAGAACCTAGTTTACATAATACAATATATGTATTTTTTTTTGTAGGCTTTACTCAAATTTCACGATGGATCACACGGTGCCCGAGATCGCATGGTTCATAAGCCCGGATGGAAAATGCTTTTTATGATGCTAAAATATTTAAACTGCTACCCGGAATTAAGTGAGTGAGCCAAAATCTGTAAAACTCGTAGGAATATCAAACGTAAAAAAATATTCCTAAAAATAGGTTGTAAAATTGAAAAAAATGTTAACACCTATATTAAGAATATAACATTATTTAGCATGTCGTGACAGCCAATAGTCATGCATACGATATGATAATACAAATATATTATATTACTATAATATAATATCGTCGACTGGTGACTGCTGTTATTAATTGATTTTAAAATTATAAAAACCAAACGCCCAAACAGTATTGTGTAAAAATAATCAAATATTACTTTTATTTATACAAATGTATTATAATATACAGACACGCAAAACGCAGCAAAATATTCTGTATTTCTAAGAAGTTATAAATAATTCACACAAACAAAATAAAGTATTATTATATAATATAGGTGCTTTCATTGTCGATGAAAATATTGGAAATTTAATAAACAGTATTATTATTTTTTTACGATAAATGAATAAAATATACATTTAAGATTTATTCTAACACGCCTTCTTTTTAAAAAAAAAACTTAAGCGTGGTAAATAACAGCTGAAGGCTAAAATCACAGTTAACTAACCAAAATATGTTTACTCTATAGTTGCACAAGTTGTTGTTTTAATAAGCATCTTGTATTTAACTTAAAATTGAGTTGTACTTTTATTTAAATTCAATATATATTGATTATAATATTATATATAATATTATAAATTATAATTCACAACAATAAATTTAAGTATTTGTGCTGTGACAGTAAAATGACGTTATTATAACTTATTTTGGCAGTAGCCAGTATTGCACAATTAAAGTCCTCATTTATCAATTATCTTTTGAGAAAATTTAATTTTACTAATAGCAACTTCTATAGAAACGCTAATAGAAATTGGAAACTCAAAACTTAAAGGTGATCGGTATCGGTGATGCATTCCAACATAATATATTTTAACTTTTACCCTTCTTCTTTCCATTAGGTATATATAATATTTAGTCAAACTATCCAACATTATATTACCTAACCACTGGCAAATAATTATTTGTATTCTTCTTATAACTTTAGGTATAGTTAATAGTCTCCATATGGTAAATTATCACTATTCCTTGATAATATTATTTATTTTAGTCAAATTATTGTATATGAAGAAACAAACCATTTTCTTACAGCTATGTGATATGAACTTAAATAATACTTAAATGTTTGAATTTTGTTCCACAGCTTCAATGCCGTATCAGTTGACTCCGATTGTACTGGACGTACCACCCGAATATCGTCAAATTGTCTTGAAGAATCCCATGATCGTTAGAAGACGTTACGTAGAATTACTACCTATCAAATATGGGTATCGAGAATTTTGGAAGACTCATATAAACCGTTTGAGGGCATTGCCTTATCAATATTTATTGTGGGAAGGCGGTTTCGTTCTGATTGTATTTTGTTTTTACGCCATTGGTTAGTGGATTTAACAACGAACAATTTAGAACTTCACTTAACCTAAAACAAGAAGTAAAATTAAGTAATTTTTTATTGAAATACGAATTACAGGCGATAATGTCATACGTGTAGTAAATATCACAATACATTTTTCAAAAAAAGACGTACAACCGGAACCGTTGTGCTACCAAGATAAGCTCATGCTGGAAGAGGTGAACAAAATAATTTAATTTAAACATTAATAAGTAATATAAATAACGTGTTTACTATTTTAGTGTTATCCACTGGATACGTTCAATCCCGGATTTGCATTACCCAAACCAGTATCGATCAACACGAACAGGTAATTTGTGTAAAATATATTTTGTACATTTATCCGCTAAAAATGTAATTAAATTCTGGTGTACTATTATGAATTGTCAATAAAGGTGGACAATTTTGCGAGAGTTAAAAGAATCCAGTGACAAAAAAGGCAACGAACTGTTTTTGCTATCGTTGTCGCCTTTAATGGACGAACTGTCTGACCAAGTTCTTACGGACACCAGGCGCAAAATGTTAGAGCTGTTAGAAGAAGCTATGAGCTGGAAAAGAAATTTTGATCGTTAGAATGCCATATCGATCGTGTCCTTGTTATCAAGACGTGTATAATCTGTTACAATTTGAAAATGTTTGAAAACATATTATTTATTAGTTATTTGTTATTAGTACGAGTAAGTTTATATTTATAAAACGTTCCCGTTATTCGTTTGTTTATTGCAGACCTATATTCTTAATTTATTGTATACACCTATAAATATAATATGAGTAACTCTTAAGTTGTAAAAGTCATATACCTATTTTAATAATTTTTTTTTTTTTTAATACTCATGTAGACTTACGATCATAATATTATCCTAAATATTATTATTTAACGTTTGGTTATTTTAAAATATAATGCGTTTAGACGTTTGTCTATATTATAATGTTCGCTAGGAAAATATCAAGTTGCCGGGGTTATTAAATGTCGACTATAGATCAATATCTTGTTTATTATCATATTTTATGCCTGTACTGAAATTGTACACACATTTAGCCTATCAGATAATATGATTCAAATAATTATCTTAATTTTGATTTTTAACTGTTTTTTTACTACCGTGGTGACATTTGAAGAAAATGCGTTGAGTTATGAAAACAAAGGCCTCATAGCCAACGGAGAAGTATATGACGTCGAGAAATATCCGTTTGTAGTGTGCTTAGTGATGATGAGAGTCGTCCCAATATTCAAAAAGGAAAAGTCTGCATGCACGGGATCGTTAATATCGCCGTTGTTCGTTTTGACCGCCGCACACTGTGTCGTTGGTGTAAGAAGATATGACATAAATGTATTCTAGCGCTTACACCCTCGTTTGTATACGATAAAAATTATCGTATTTTTTACAAAAAGTTCCGTAACGTTTACACCGTTTACAGGTGTACAGCGGCGAAAGCCACCAACGTGTTCAGCGCATATACCGACATCATATGTTTGATCCCAAGAGGTTTTCGGCAGACATCGGCATGTTGAAAGTAAGCACTCTGGCAGACTGGCATTGTAATTATTTGTAAATGATTATGTCGCATTAATATTAAAAAGGTGGGCAAGTGGGTGTCGCTCTGCTGTACAGTAGGTTACAAGTGGGTCACTTTATAATGGATGGTATTAAATTTGAATTCAATGATATAATATCATTGTATAAGAAAAACGATTCTGAGCGGTGACGGTATGTCAGTCTATGTATAAGACATATTATATACATATCTATGGTATTAAACAAAAAATTGACCTATAATAGGTACCTATAATAAATTCCAAACTAATCATATCACAATATCCATTAGATACTTATAACGCGTTATACATCAACAAAAACCGTGATACTATCATAGATATATAATAGTACACTTTAGAAGTTTCAAGTACCCACGAATAATATTATTCAATCACAACAAAATAACTAAAATCGTAATTCTTGGTTTAAATATGAAATTTTGTCTAAATTTGAAATTAAAATGTCTGTAAAAAATAAGTGTGTTTATATATTTTTTAGATTTTTTGGTTACAGTATGAATTATTTAAGAGAATCTTTGTTTTAAATTTTCAACTCTTAGTTATAAAAACTGAACATTTTATAATTTTTTAATTCCAACGATTGATAATTTTCGAGATTTTGATAAATTTTGTCAAAATTCCAACTTTAAATGCTTATAAAAAAAAATCGTGCCTATGTATTTTTAATATTTTTCAACTGATATTGTAACAATATATCAGGAGCCTTGTATTAAATTTTTACACTTTTTGGCCCAACAGATAAAACTTTATTGATATTTATAGAAAAAAAAACTTAAAAAATTGAAAGCTGTAAATGTCCATAAAGAGCTCAAAAAGAGTCAAAATATTTTCAAAATTGTATGGTGTATAGAAAATGCTAATTTAAACATTCAGTGAAATTTTCATGTATCTACAGTTGTTCGTTTTTGAATTGCAACAAAATAAAGAAATCGCTACATGAGTAATCGAGTGAATATCCAATGTTGTAAAAATTTGAATTTCAAACGCTCATAAAAATTTAACTTGACTGTCCGGTAGAGATTTTTTTATTAATAAAGGTAGATAATCTTATAAGGAATCTTGTGTTTCATTTTCAAATCTTAGATTTAAAAAAAAAAATTTTTACGAATTCTTAACTCAAAATAATTTGCTAATTTTCGTGATTTTTCCATATTTTGTCAATTTTTGAACTTTAAATGCTTAAAAAAAAAAATTGTGACTAAGGATTTTTAATATTTTTCATCTGCCTTTGAAACAACATATTAGGAGCCTTCTATTCAATTTTCAAGCTTTCGCAACCAACAAATAAAATTTTATTGATATTTTTAGAAAAAAAACTAAAAAAAAATGGAAAATGAAAATGTCCCTAAACAGTTCAAAATAAATCAAAATATTTTGAAAATGTTATCGTGTATAGAAAATGCAATTATAAACAACCAGTGAAAATTTCATGTATATACGTTCATTTGTTTTAGAGTTTCAAAAATAACCAAAATCGATTTTTTGGAAAACCAATTTTGCGTAAAAATTCCCGTTTTTCCTTAATTTTTATGTTGTTTTTCCCGGCGCTTGTGAAAACTACTAGGAAATTTATACTTTTGACCCCCCAAAGTACCAACTAGATTCACTTTCCAGAAAAGCTACTGATGAAGAAGATCCAAGCACTTTTACTGTCCTAAAACGTGATGACAGACACAAAAATATAAAATAAAATATAAAAACATACATCATTGTAAAACCAATACATTCATCGCTCCGCTCAGAATCTAAAATGTAAAAAAAGTTAAAGAGGGACGTATTCGCTTATCGCTTATCAGAAAATCATATTGCATACGATTCTGCAATGAAGTACCACATTTTATGTCTTTGATGTCCTTGCTATCAAATATCTATCACCTAACTATCGTGTGATAAGCGCGTATATCGAGTTCGAATCTCGGATTATAAAAATTATATTTTGTAATTTTTTTCGTAACGTAACGTTTTTCGATTTCGATTCTATGTGCCAAAGCCAAGACATAATAATTATTATTATAATAGTTTTAAAACCCATGGCAACCATTTATAAACATAAATAAATAACGTAATGTTTTTGTGTAACGTAACGTAACGTTTTTCGATTCTATGTGCCAAAGCAAATACATAAAATGTCAAAAAGAAAATGACATAACTAAATGGGAGGGGAAAATTGGAAAATCCTTCACCCTCTTTAAACTTTTTACTTAGGTACTTAGTAAAATATTTATTATTTAACAATAAGAAACAATGAATGTAATTTGAATTGATTCAAAATCCACATCTAACACAATATGGACGATTATCCACAACAAAGCCAATGGTGCAGGGGGGGATCTGACCCCACGTCACACCTTGTATACGCCACTGAGTTAAATAACAGGTAGATATAGTAGGTACCTAGATGGCTAGATATATAATAAATAATATGCTTATATAGGTAGTCATAGACTTATATGATATTGATATATATTATATATTATATGTACCTACTACAATATATATTTTTTAAGCTACCTGTTTAAAAATGTATTTAGCTATTAGCATGTTTTTTATAAAGGTTTCTTTCTGAACATCAATTATAATTTATATGTTTGGTATTTGGTTTTAAATTATTTAAATTGAATTAGTTCATACATATGTGTGTATTAATGTAATAATATACATATATACATATATACATATTTGTATATACAGTTATACTTGGAATTTAGTTACGAAACTCGTTCAAGAATGTCGGCCATTATGTAAGTTTATCTGGCCATCCTGATGAATTTTCTAATGGAACAACCCTGAATTGTGTGGTCATTGGGTTTGGAAAAACTGAAGATAAAACGATATCTAAATTAAAGGGGTTTATGACCAACTCTAGTGTCACGTACGGTCCTACAGCATGTAAATTGTTCAATACGTAGGTACTAAATAATATAATCATTTAGAAGATCATTTACCTACAACTTATAGAATCACGTTGAAATAGATCGAAAATAATGGATACATGGCATGAATATTTGTGCTCAAAACCAGACATTCGTATGATATGTCCTGGTGACAGCGGCGGTCCAATGATTTGCAATGGGTCCTTATATGGAATAGCCAGTCACGGATACAATTTCAAAGATCAAAATAAGGACATAGTTTGTGGCAGTCCCGATGTTCAGACTAGACATCTATTCGTATATACCTACAGACAATGGATAGCTGATATTATAAATAAAGGAAACACATTGATACCACATTATAAATCATATATTACTACTATTATATTAGTATTATACTATTATATGTTGTGAATGTTTAGTAAAATAAAAAAAATGTATACAACAATATATTAATATGTTCATGTAACGTTATAACTTATAAATTATAATTAAAATCAGAATAGTTTATTGATAATTATTGTAAATTGTAATCCATAAAGAATGGTAAAAATGAAAACATATCTCAACACATTTTTGTCTTTCCTATTACCTATAACAGATACCTTCCAACTTTTATCTAGGAACAGAAATTAAGCGTGTAAGTCAATTAACAATGTTGATGTACATTTTACCTTCATTATTCATGATCTATATATTTCAACCATTACAACCATTAAAAGAAATTTTAAGTTGTGTTAAAATGTTTGTTTATCGAAAAAATGTTAATCAAATTTCGATTGATAGGAAACTTACAAATGACAACGTACCTCCGTAAATATATGATAGGTATATAAAGCGCACTCTCTTTGAATAAATAATTATCTCTACAGATTAGTTTGACGGTATATTACAAGAGATCGCTGTTGCAACTAATAATTATACATTTAGAACTAACATTTTACCAACTTCGATTTGCTTTAACTAATTAGAAAAAAAAATCTATATTAACTCTTTGAGGGGCGAAAATTTCCTTTAGAAAAAAGACCCATGTGGGCAATATGTCTCTTTACCATAACATTTAGTACGTATATCAAAATATTGTTAATGATAATAAATGATGAAAAACGCGAGAAATGATATCAGACCAGCGGCAGTGATAT